CATTTAATAAGGTTTTGTTTTTCTCTTTTCTCTAGCGTTCTGTAATATTCTTTAATTTTTCGCACGTCAATTTGGAGTTTGAAATAGGCCCAAGTTTTTACCATCGTCAGTTCTACTTTGAATTTTAAAGCGGACTACCCATAGCCACTTAAATTCCGTTGAACGTACGGTCAATCTTTAAAGCTCGTTTCAAATCGCACCTTACATTTTGTTAAGCTTTCTCTAATCTTTTGATTGAAGTCTCGTGCGGTATTAATAATTTTTTTGGCTTGAGTCCATGCCACTATACCCACTGTAAAGATGTAATGTAACTTTGCGATGGCGAGACTTTTATATGCAACACATTTTTGTTCCAAAGTGAGTATGCTACTCAGTGTTTCTTCAGTTAGTTAGATACATTTGCCAAGAAGTGTATCGTACGCTTTTTACGTGGGCCACATTTCTTAACCGACCCAAAGAAATTTATAACTTTTGCCAAAAACCAGATGAGCTATTCTTAAGGCTTCATTACACAGCTATCCATGTTCTTCGACTTCATCATCGGCTCGATAATGCTTGATCGTACTTTTCCGTTCATTCAGTTTTAAGCTTAATGTTGGTAAAATGAATGCTAAAATATCAATGAGTTTCCGTAACTCATTCCCGTTCTTCGCATATAACTTCAAATCATCCACATAAAATTGATGACTTGCATACTTCAAATTCAATCTCCTCTCGCGACTGTTGATTCTTGCAGCGTTTATGCTGTCGCTTATCGGTATCACTGAGACAAGCGTGTAAGCCATAACGTGTCATCTCAGAGGTACCATTTCAAATCCGCATTTGTCTTGTGCTTGCCTTGCCAATCTAGAAGGTAATTTTTCATTTACAAACATATGCTGTATAAATAGTTGTACCTCCATTGGCGTGTTTTATACTTCTTGGAGCGATTTTAAATATTGATGTACTACTGAGTCGAAGGCTTTTTGGAAGTCCATCTAGCACACACTTAGTGGGTTTCGTTGATATTTCGATTAGCCGATAACATATGGGTATCGTAATATGGCATGCAAACGTGCCATTTTACCAGATTTTATTGCACGTGGCTCAGCCAAAAATCACCCACAATCTTCCAATCGTTGTACGCAAATGCCAGACACAAGTCCAGATCTTATAGACGGTGTTTGAGCAAGTTATCGGTCGATAATTAGGCAGATTACTTTTTTCACCTCCTTTAAAAAGCAGCACAGTTTTACCTTTGGCGAGCCATTTAAACGGTATTTTTCCGGTTTTTATCGTTTCGTATACTTTATTTTTCAATATTTTCTTAACAGCGTCTAGGCTTTTTCACCAAAACATATGTTTCCCATCCGATCCGCACGCAGTCCATAATTTAGCCTTTTTGATAACTGTGTAAAATACTTGCCGCAGATATCCATCTGCAATTTTGGTAGTTTGAGCCTTATTCACTTTATTCTCAATACTCACTTTCCAAGTTTGAAGATAGGCATCAGCATCAGGCTTAATATTTATTGGACTACCTGTTATAGGTATTCGAAAGTCCTCAATTTTTTTAATACTAGGTTCATTTTTCAAATTGATAGTCTCCTTTTCTCATGTTGCCATAATTGATGGATTCCTCGCTAAATCGCTTCGTGTAGTTATGTAATTATCTCCTAGTCTCAAATTTATTCGTTTTTTGAAAAGCTCTTCTTTCATTTACAATTTGCTTGCAAGCCGAATTAACACCTTAATGTTGCATGGCTTTCTCGTATAAGCTCTTGTTTTCCATATTTGAACATGATCTTTTTTCGGTGGCCAGGCTCTGGATTTTCGTTTAGAAATTCCCTCACCTGCGCAACCTTTCATATCTTTAATTCCCTCTAAATACGTTTTCTTTTTTTCCAACCACTGTACCTCTTTACGAGTGATTTATTTTTGTTTTCTTCATTCGGCTATTTTCCTAGTAATAGCCACCACTTTTGTGTAAACCGCAATATTTAGCCATCCTATGTCGTTCGTACCCTCTGGTTTTCGCTTCATTTCTATAATTACTAGTCGATTTCTGATGTCCAGTATTTTTTGGTACACTCTCTTTTGACCTTCTAAGAAATCTTTTGTTTTCTCGATTAAGACAATTTAATTCTTAGTGTCACACTGGTCTTTAGTATATGACACTTCATTGTTCAAAATCCGTGAATATATTTTAATTCAAAGAATACTTTAGGTATTTGGACTTTCAGTCACAATGGAAAGACTCTTTTGACACTTGTCAGGCGCCTTAATATAGTAGAAAACAGGACAAAGAGTTATACAAACAAGAGTAAATTATAAAAAACCGATTAAGTAATAAATCAAATTTAAAAACAATAGACTTCAAGCAAGAAACCTACAAACTACCAACGGGTACAACTTAGGAGCGCAAAATTTGATTGATTTTGGAGTCAAACAAAATCGGTCAAGTGGTAAATGGAGGATAAAACAATCGGTCGCTCCAAAATTTAATTCGGTGAAGAATTTTTAATTAATTGAGGTATAAATACCTTTTGAGGTAGTAAAGGCGTATTATCTACTCTCCAAAAGCTTCCCCTTAGGGGCAGACCAGTGGCCACTGCCATGCCTTTAGAATTGGTCTTTCGCGTGCTGTTGCAACAGTTTTGTCACTAATACCATGATGGTCTTAATAGATGCCAAAAACGAGCCATGACCATGACTCAGGCTGCACCATAATCCTGAAGTGCTCTAATGTCTTTGACAAATGACTTTTCTGCAACCTTTGCAATGGAGATTTGTTGAATAACGTCGCTTCGCTGAGTGATAACAATGTTCTTCTGCTCACTTTTTCCAGCTACACCGCTATTAAGCTCTTAAATCGTACAGCTTTTTCAATGCTTTTATAAAAAACTTTGCGCTACTGTTTTTTTCTTCAAGATCAGCCTAACTAGCTTAGTTTTTTTTTCTTTTTAAGATGCTACGATTTGAGCAATATAGAATTATATTTCTGGTTAGCCTTCTAGTACTTTTGCCGTTGTTTGCAAGCTCTACATGAATATTTTTTAAAATTTTTGTTACAATTTTTGCGTACTTCCTGCAAAGTGTTCTACTTCGTAGTTGGCTTTTCCACAGCAAAATTTTTAACGGTCTTTTTTACTTACGATAAACCTTTTAGTACTCTTTCTTATTGCCTCTCTATATCATTTTTGCAGAAAAGAAGTAAACTTAAAAATCTAATTATGTCTTAAACAATTATTGTTGTCATTACCTGCTGCTAAGGCGATTCAACAGTTAACGCGGGGCTTCTTCTAGTGGCTTAAATATTAAGTTTACTGTTTATTCTGGTTCGCCTGAAAAAGAAGATTACAGAAGTTTAATAAACGCTAAAAAAAGTTATTATACTAATCAAAGAAATCGTGGCAGGTACAATAAATTCAAAAACTTGATGAAAATAAATTTAGTAAGTGTACGAAAGGTGAATCCAGAAAAACGAAATTTTTGAAGAATTCAACATGGGACCTAGCATAAACGAATTTCTGCCTGTTCTGTCATTGAGTATGTTGATTTTTAAAACTACTGTTGCAGTGAGACTGCTGCAGCGTTTTGATTTTCTTGGCTGTATTGGTAAACATCACTTTTGCTGCTTCACTCTTGCTTGCTCTACTTGATACCGCCTTAGTTTTTTCATTAAAATGCATCAGTCTGTAAAGTGAGGTTATTAAGCTAAAAGAAATGTAAGATATCTTTTATCTTTCATATTTTTGTGCACTGTGATGATTAATACATTTTTTGAAATTTATACTGGTATTCTCACGGCTTCAACAAGCAGTTTTTTTGTCACTTTAGGGAGAACTTGCCGACCAAAGTACCATAGAATTGGCAACGCGTGCTTCAAACCAGTAAATTGTCTACCATGTTTTTTGGTTTATTCAATTAAATCAGTTGTAAAACTGAAAATGCACTGAAGTTAATATTTAAAACTCACTTGAAGAACCTCAAAAGTTTTTTAATCATTAGGTATTCAGATAACTAGAACAACTTGACAAAAGTAGCAGTCAATTTTTCAAATATAAGTTATGTTAAAATCTTGTAAATATCAGCTAAATAATGTACACTAACAAAATTTTTTAAAGGTAAACAAGGCTTTGACGTTTGAGGATGCAAAAATGGTGTGTGAAAACGATGGGGCATTTATGGCTTCATTTGCAGACGACCAAGAACAAAAAGCTGCGATAAGTTGCTTTTTACTATTCTCATTTTTCGTGACCTAAACTTTTTTGTTTCTGTGTGTCTCTATAACTTTGTCATGACAAGCGAACTTACACTTGTTGCACTATACAGCTAAAAAAATTATCTCGTTTTGCTGTAGAAAAGTGTGAGAAATTATGTGAAAAACGTTGGTTATTTCTCGTTTATTAAAGTAAAATTCTTAAGTTTTTTATTTGAGGGGTGCTTAGTGGTAGACACTATTGGATAGGAGCTGTAAATGTTCAAAACAAATGGTACTGGATAGACGGTACTCGTTGGTCTTTTGGAGAAGTCATTGATTACTCTGGGAAACACAATTACTCTGTTGTTTTGGATCGGGATGAAAAGAGATGGTACCAACTGGCGAACTCAGCTTATCGTTTTCCAGTTTTGTGTAAATACATAGGTTCGTTTTCAACAACTGTTTAAAAATTAAAAATCAACGAAGTAAGGGTGGGTATATTATATGATAGGCAAGACTAACGTTTTCGTTATAGACAATAATTTAGAATTGTTTGCGCTTTGACTATTTCAGGCAAATCGTTAATTTTTAAAAGAACTTAGGTCTAGTCACTCTGAAGGCAGCAATCTTGCAAATCAAAAGGCTGTAACTGTTAACTTTTACAATTGACAAGTAAAAGATTGAGTGAAGGAGATTTTTGCTTTTTCAAGGTTATAGTTCTGATTATCAAATTGAAATGTGGAGGAGGTCTGTAAAAGAAAAAACCATACTGCAATAAAAACTGGAAATTGACCTATCTTTTTTCTAAAAAATATGTTGTCTATTGTAGAATAAAAAAGTAGGATGAGAGGGTATGCAATGCTTAATACCTTTTATTTGACATTTACTTGTTTAAAAACTTAGTATTTTTTATTGGAGGGTACTGTGGTAGATTTATGCTTGGGTATGCACTGTTTGTTTCCGAGCATCGTTTTTTGAGTGAATGTATTTCAGAATAGCCTTAATCTTGTTGCTGTTTACCTTGTAGAGAAGAGCAGAAAAAGGCAGTAAGAACGTAGTAGTAAACCAAGAAAAACTTTTATTTTTGCTGGGTAGAAGATTTTTCGTTAAGGCTGTTAGCTTGTAATTTAACCTCTCATTTCAAAGTTAGCAAAAAAGAAAAAGATGAAAAAATTTGATTAGCTTTTTTCTTGACGCTTCGTAGACGATGTCTCTTAGTCGATCGAATAACGGCCTGATTTTACATAGCAAAGCAAAAGTTTTTTAATATTTAACGCAGAGATTACTTTATTTCTGACTGTGCTGTAATTCGCTGGTCAGACTGCAAAAGTGTAGTCACTTATTTTTACAACAAATCTGTACTTCTTGACTGAACATATTTAATTGCTAAAACTTGTTTAGCACATTATTTATTTTTTAGTTGGTGACCAAAGCAAGCGACCGTGCAAGACCGTCGATAATTTGGTGTCGAGCGCGTGCTATATAGAGGTTAAAACTTGTAAACTAGAGTGCCAAACAGATTTAAATTTGGGAAAACCAAGATCACAAATATCTTACTTCAGGATCATTTTCTTGTTCTAAACAATTTTTTGTAAATCCAATGCAGATTTAATGCACTTTAAAAACTAAGTCGTAAGTATCATTTACTTCTTGAGAATAAAGAATTTAGGCTTTTGGACTTGCTTATAAAGATCGGCTTTTATTAAAAAAGAACTAAAAAACAAAAGATCAATAGCTCATTATTTAAATTTTTTAGACAGACATAAAAACGCACAAGTACGGTAAGCGCATTCATATTTTCCTCTTTCATAACTTAAAAATTTTAAAAGAGAAAAATTGAAAGGTGAATGACTTGAACGGACAAAATTCGAAGTGTTTTTAGCTTCTGACTTTTCAGGTTAGTACTTTCGCGAAAAAAGACAATAAATTGTATTATATGTTCTCTTACGCACATAATCTTTTTGAATTAATTGTTATAAGCTTTTGCCGGTATTTACTACAAAAAAAATTTTTTATAATAAAAATTGTTGCACTGACAAGCGTGTATTTACGATGCTCAAAAAAAGAAACTACTAATAATTACATTCAACATAATGAAACTTAATAAAGCAATATCAAGCTCGGTTTCCACATCTGCAGAGCACGATAAACGGCCTCATTGCATCAGAAAAAGCAGACAATTGGTGCTTCTGAAGAATACGTTTTTTTTACTTGTTGGAGAAGGAAGAACTAATTTATCAAGGTTTCAAAGTCGAATGTTATGTATAGATAATGATTAGAGACACAACAAGCACATGACGAAATAATCAAACCATGCAAAAAGATTATATGCTTTTCAAGCGAAATTCAGTCTTTCTTTCTAATTCAATTTTTTTACAAAGGTGCTTAAACCTTCAAGTTTTACAAAGCTCTTGAGTTCAATAATGCAACTCGTGCAGAAAAAATTTGAAGATAAGAACCACAACTTGGTGTAAAAAATTTTTGGAAGAGGAATGTTCGGAAGAGATATAAGAGGGAGCGTAGCATAGACCTATTGAATGTCTACTGAAGAGGATTATTTTGATGTCAGCAAAGAGTGGAATTCTCAGAATGCAGAAGAAGGATAAGTGAGGCTGTAATGAATAAAGTATACAAGCTTTACTTCAAATGTCGTCTTATTTCTTGCTTTTGAAATCTGTAAAACTTTGCTACTAACGTGCAGAAGATGACTGAATTGAATGGTCATACTCGAGTTGAACTGGTGTGTTTTCAGGCACCTAAATAGAAAAATTTTTTTCAAACAGTATTTTCTTGCAAAACCTTCGTTTTCTGGCTTTAATGTTGTTTTCTTTTTCTAACTTGACGTTTTCGCATCATCCTGGTCTTCCAAACAAATGATTTTCTCAAAATACTTTTTGTTGAATTATTGTAATCATTAGCATAGAGTTCTTAACTTCTTCTTAATTTTTTGAAATCTTCGTTTATCAACTTAACCTTCACCTCTGTTTGATATTTAATGCGTTTAAACGTTCTTCTTCTTACGATCTGTTTTACCGCTACCAGTTTTCTTAGCAAAATAGAATAGGATG